AATCCTAATCCTGACATAGGGAGGTATTGACAATAAATAAAAAAATACATGGCTCTTTTGAGGCCGGTGAGAAGGGAGGGAGTCCATGCTAGCCCACTAAAATGTACTGACCCCAAACAGACATCCAGGTAGAGGCAATGCTAGGGTACTAAAAATGTCCTTCTTAGGGTACTGTGAACCTGCTTGCTATCATACCAAAAACGTCCATCCTAGGGTACTGCCGCCAAGCAGACCCCCAGGTAGAGGTAACCCCTGCCACAACGCAGAATGTCTAGGAAATGAGGGCATGGTTGTATCCCTCATAGACAAATTTCTGCATATGGTCCTCCAGCTTYAGGGCCCACATRGCTGCCGCAATCGAGAGGGTGGCGAGCACAACCCGAATGATAACGGGCAGGGATAGACCCAGGAGTTTCCCTCCTGCAGAAGACACAGCTGCTGACACCGTGGCAGTGGTCCCGCTGGACACCATTGCTGGGGTCCCAGACTGGCCCGAGATGCAAGCAGCAATTGCCAGAAATGCCACGGAGGCTATGCAGACCCCCTTTTGTAATCTCTTGTAGAAGTTGAGCTCTCTCGTGCATACTTGACACCTTGCTGTGTGCTGGTTGTACCGATCCATGACCTCTGTGCGAGGCAAAMCCGTGTATTCAGCACCCGTATCCAAAACCTTGTCCGGACTTCTATCGGCCCGAGAAGTAGTGCTGGCAGCCCATTTCACACCCCCTCCAGCGTATTTGTGCAGCCATTGACGGAAGGCAATGACCAATCGATCAGCGGCCGTGGGCAGGTAGTATACTTCGTTCCACTCTTTCTTGTGCTCCATCTTCATCCTGTTAAGGATGTTCTCTTCCACGTGCAGAAAGTGAGCATCGGAGTCGAAGAACCTATTGAAGTACAAGTGCCGGTTTTGGAACTTGGACACCAGATTCGTCATCCAAGACTGGATCGACGGTCGCTGTTCAACTTGTGTGGAGGCAAAACCGTTAAGGATCAAGGAACGTCCGGGTTCGGTCGGTGTAACGTAAAAAGTGTTCAGTAAGATCATAGGCTGACCCATGAAGGTCAGCTCCCTCCGATACGTTAAGAGGCTGGGAGCATGGAAGTCTATAAACAACGTGCATGGCACGTTTAGCATCTCCTGGCCTCGGCCAGAGAACCCCTGAGGACCCTTAGATTGAGCTTGCAGGTCCAAAGGCGCCCCGTCGCTCCTGTTCAWAAAGCGGTCAATTTTGTGGTGGGCRAAGGGCAAATGAGTGGGGTCCACCACGTTCTCCACCAGAGTCTCGTAGCTGTAGGCCAGCTCTCTCATGTACCTCTTTGGGCGAAAGAGCCCCGGCAAGTGCACGCCAGGATCGATGGGAAGAGGGGTCTTGGCAGCGAGCTCTGCGGCATGGGCACTCTCGTCCGGCCACAGGAACACCACGTCGTGAACGACGGCCGTCGGCACAACAGCAGCGCATGCACGAGGCGACCTGGCTGCACGTTGGTCCGGTCCGTCTTGTGGAATGCTCTTGCATGTCCCATTCCCGCTGAAGGACCATCCATGATACGAGCACTGAAGCCTCCCTTGCTCGTCAATCCTCCCTTCTGAGAGCGGCGCCAGTCGATGAGGACACTGATCAACGAAAGCCCGCCACGTGCCTTCGCGAATCACATCCACGTAGTCAGCTTTGCTCAACACCCCGCCGCCCTTCTCTATGTCTTCTGTGACCTTTCGGTTGGCCAAGTCGACGCCCTCGGTTGAACTGTCCCACCACAACACGAACCGACGGCCCAGCACCGTGATGGCCTGAGGCTGCCTTCTATCAAGATGAGACTCCACAGCAACTCCATACCAGTGACGTGTCCAATCAAAGGCTTGCTGTTCGCCGGCCACGTCGGCTCGCTGCTTAGCGTACCGATCCTTCTTCTGCATGTTCAGGGGATCGAACCCCGCCGCCTGCTCCTCTGTGCCCGTAGCAGTTACGGCTGCTGCATGCTTTTCCGAGGACGAGGAAGACGTGTTGCTCGAGTCTGAAGGGAGGGGAGATTCGCCAGCCATAGCTAGCGCCATGAAGGGAGGAGAAGCTCCCCTCCTGGTCACCTTTCTCCTCGCCCCGGTACATGGCTTACCCTCCGAGCGGTGTTCAATCTCCCACTTCCACAGTGACACGTCGAGGAGTGCGTAACCCGACTTTGCCTTCGAGACAGATGCCCGACCTCGACGTAGCCAAGGGTTACCCTTTCTTCGCCGCCCGTAGGACGAAATGAGAGTAGATGGGATTGAGATCCCATCGSCGGCCACGGAGGACATCCCGTTCCACGGCCGTGGTAAGGTGATTGCCTCCGGAGTTACGTGTCTGCTCAGTCGTGCCACTTGTTCACCGGCAGAAGCTGTGACTCCTCCGTGCAAATCACCGTCACGCGGCGCTCCCACATGTCTCCTCGCCAGGTCAGTGCAGACCCTTCCCGCGCGGCCGCTCGCAATTGAACACGTCGCCATGTCGATAACCAGGCCGAGCCCGAGCGACACGCGGGGACAGCCAGTCTTCGAAGAAAGGACCGCACGCACTGTAATTCCGAACGAGCGTGGAACCACCGAACGTAATTCCCCTCTGCACTCCCTCGCGCCCCCCCACCCCCCTCCTCCCAATCTCTCTCTCTCTCTCTCTCGCGCGCGCGCGCACGCGCGTTCCCATGCAAGGCCTTACCTATTTTCACGGAAAGCAACAAAATCTAGTTGACTATATGTACTTCCCGAACCAGCTCGCTCGCTCGCTCGTTTGCTGCTCTCTATCTCTCTGGCGCGC